GCCCCCTCCCACCTCGCCCACCTCCCCGACAGACTCTGCAGGAGCAGCTGAACGGGGTCACCCCTATTGCCATGAGCATCAAGGCAGGCACAGTAGATGAGGACTCGTCAGGCTCAGAGTGAGTATGTGGCCTCCCCATGGCCCCCTGACAAGCTTCCCTTCCTCCCCTTTATTCTCCACCCCCCAGGCAGCTGCTCCCGTGGCAGGGGTCAGGGGTCACAGGGTGCCCAGTGCTGTCTGGGGCAGCCTCTCCCTCAGTAAGGCTGTTGTCTACCCAGAGCGTTCTGAAGCGGGTAGGGAGGCAGCCAGGAGGGAGAGAAGCCTGGGCCAGGGAAGGGTGGGCATACAGATTTCAGGTGGTGAAGTTGAGGAATCTGAGGGCTGGGGTTTCTTTTCTGTTTTCCTTCTCTGGTTGAAAGCTTCTGTCTCCTCTGCTCTGAAACTAACCTGCTCTCTGCCTTTCTGTCACTTTTCCTTTCCTGCATCTCCAGATTTCTCTTCTTTAACTTCCTGCATTAACCCCGGGCCCGTGGCCCCCACGCCCAAGGCTCCCCACTCCCTCATGGTCCCATATTGTATCTTGTGCTTTTTCCCCTATCCCCCTCCCCACCCCCCCAAATTTCCCTCTTCCTGCCCCACAGCAGTGACGAGACATCCATCTGAGGAGCCTTTGGGCGTTGCCAAGAGGAATGCCCACTCCCCCAGCCTATCTTGTGCCAATCACCCCTGCCATCTCCCCTTGGCCCCAATGCACTTTGGACCCCTGGGGCCACACTTCCAAGGAAACATTTTTTCAGAAAAGAGGAAAAAAAGAAAGAAAAAAAACTGGAAGGATCTCCGCTCTTGTGTCTTCAGGGATGAATTTTTTATATGATGAAAACTGATTCTACTCCGCCCACTAGAGGATGGGACCTCCTAGGATTCTCCCCTGCCTCCCCCCAGTTTCCCATCTGCTGTGCCTCTGGGAGGAGGGGAAGGTCCTTGGCGGGGATGGGAATTTCCAGCCCTCCTTCTACCATCACCAAAAGAAAAGGACAAAGCCACACACTTCCTGCAGGGGACACTTAGCCTTGCCAGCTGGACCCCCAGATAGGCTCCAGTTTGGGGGAGAGAGGATAAGAGACACACCGCAATTGCCCCTTGAAGTGTCCTCTCAAGAAGTGAAGACCCCTGTCTGGGGGCAGGAAGGGTGGTAGAAGGACCAGCCTCCCTGCCCCTAATGCTGCATGAACAAATGTAAAGGGGAAAGGACCCAGGAGTCCATGACCCCCAGCTGGGGATGGTGCCCCCTTTCCTTTTCTCTAGGCCTCTGGCAGTGCTCAAGAACCAAGGTTTTTGCTCAGTTTGCTGACCCAAAAGTGCTTTTTTTCTTTCTGCCCAAACCATGCTTTGGAGGGGCCGTTTACATTGTTTGCCTTTGCTCTGGAGGTGGATAGGAAAGGCTTGAGGCTCCAGGTGGCTGGCTCCTTCCTAGCTGGGACAGGGGCTGGCCCAGGAGATGAGAAGGGGTCTTAGGTTGGGGAGGGGGTGCAGTGGTTGAGCTCTGACTGCATGTCATCTGCTGTTACCTGCTGTGGCCTCTGAGGTGGGTTCCGGTTTTTAATCTCTTCTTGGAATTGCCTCTCTTCAAAGTCCCAGGAACTATTCTCTTCCTTTCTCGTCCTCCTCTCCCTCTTCCCTTCCCCCTCCCCCCATTCCCTCTGAAGAGAGAGATAATATATATTATTTTTAATTTATTTGCCTTTTGTGTTGGGCTGGGGTTGCCCCAGAGGATGTCATGGATGCCAACTGATGTCATGGATTTAGTGTTTGTGGTCTTCTGGCTTGGGGGGTCAGAGCCTTGGTCCACTTGTTTCAGGCTCAGACTCCTGTCTCAAGGGAGAAGCTAGTTTCAGCCTCATGCTCTCCCCCGCTTCCATCCCGCTCCCCCCACCCCCATCTTGCCAGATGCCATTTACTTGAGTCAGTTTATCCTAAGCATGTGGACCAAATTCTGATGTCACCGATTTTCCTCCTGGAGGCGGATGGGCTAGGAAGAAAGACTCCAGATTGGTAAACCTGATGTTTCTTATCTGTAAGGTTAGGTTAGTTTATGGCTCTTACTACAGCCTTGGACTGCCCATCTCTTTCCCAGTCCTCTCCTCCCCCTTACAATTCCTGCAAAAGGTTAAAACTGTAACTGCTTCTACTACTTGAAGACTTAAAAAAAAAACCCACAAAGATGCTGGACTCATAACTTGTTACTAATTGTTGGATTGTACAGTTTGATTGTTACTGTAAATATTTATAGGTTTTTGTTTGTTTGGCCTTCTCCCTCTACTGAATAAACTAGTTCTGTGCAGGTTTGAGCACTGCCAGCTCAACCCATTTGTCTCATTCTTCTGGAAAGAAGGGGAGTCAGTGTGGACAGAGAAAGCTCAGGCAGGTCTTAGGGCAGGCTGTGAGCCAGATCTTCGGGGAGGCCCAGCCCCCTGACAGCTGCCTAATGAAAGCACCTTTCCTGCCCTTGTTTCGTGACTCATGCTCACCAACAAAACCTTAGTCAGCACCATTGCTGTTGCTGGCGTTTTTAAGGAGCACAGCGCTGGTGGTGAGCCAGCACGCAGCTGCTTGGACAGGAGGGATTGATCTAGATGGGAGGACCTTGTGCCAGTGTGGGCACTGTGATAGCATGGTCGGGCCTGCTTCTCTCAGGGCAGGACCCAATTGGGAAAGGTTACTGAGAACCTTCCATTCTTGGGTCTGGTGACCTGAGGCTAAACGGGGTTAAATCCTTTGGACCTCAGTTTCCTCATTTGTAAGAAGGAATTAGAGTCAATCTCTAAAGAGAATGGCTTAGGAGAGAGCTGGGGATCAGCATTCAGAGTGCCTGGTTCAGATCCTGCCTCCGTCCCTTACGTGTCCCTCCATGATTTTGGACAAACCACTCAACCTTTCTGGGCCTGCAGTCCTTCAACTCTGAAATGAAGGTGTAAGACTAGATCACCTCTAAGGGCCCTTCTAGCTTGACATCTGGGGTCTGACAACCTTCCATCTTCCCAAGTTTTTCCCAGCAGTCCCCCAAAGAGCACTGGGTGTGGAGTTGGGATCTAGGTCACATCCCATCTCAAATTCCCATACACCTTCTGTGACTAGGCAAGTCAGTCCTGGGCTTCCATTTCCTTCTCTGTAAAATGAGGTTCACCAGGTGGGGCCCCAAAACCTCTCAGAGCTCTTCATCTGATTCTGTAGTTCTCTGGCATGAGTGTACTCACCGAGTCTGTGAGACGAGGCAGTGGGAATGAGAGGAGGGACGAGGACAAAGTAGGGTTAGGGTGAGGTGAAGACCTGGAAATAAAAGTAGCCAGGGCAACTAACCAAGAACCAGGTCAGTGACAAGGACCCCTCCAGGGGCTTGTCCAGAGCAGCCAGCTGCAGGGGCCTGCACTGCCGTGGGTGTAATGGACTCTATGGTCACTAGATGGCAACGGAACACACACATTGCTTGATGTCTACAACCACATGGCCGTGGTGGACTGGAAAAGTTCTCATTTGGACTGACCAGCTCCGGCCCATTCTCCTCAGAAAATGTGACCTCTATAAATTCTGTTGGCATCTAGTGGTGCAAAGAGATGGCTTGGCGCATTGCCAACTAGGCTGCAGTTTTGTTTTCTTGAAATTAGGTTCTGTCCCAGTTTCCCTTCTAGAAGAGAGGGTCTGATTTAACGGCCTTGGGTTGTCATCCAGCTTTGGCCCATGGACAGAGTGCTGGGGACTTAGCTTCACCTGGATGGTGAGAGGAGATCTCAAGCTTGGCATTTCCTCAGTTAAGTTGCTCTGGTTCCTCTCCATGGCCAAAGCAACAGTAAGAGGCACCCCTTGCCCTCCTACCTTGTCCATCAAAGGGTGTTCGGGGAGCAGCAGCGGGTTGCCATGTGTAGTAATCACATTTAGGGTTACAAAGTGCTTTCCTCACAACCACTTAGGATGGAGGAAATGTGGAGCTTCATTTTACACAAGAAACAGGCTTAAGGAAGTAGATGAAGTTATTTGTCCATGATCCCAAAAGCTGGTAAACATTATAATGCCCACGTACCATATTGTGTTAACATCAAGAAGGGATGTCTTACAGGGAAGAGATGAATGTGCCCTGCCCACCTACAAGCGTTTGAATATAAGTAAAATCCTATTTATAAGAACCTCAGCGATTTGAAGGAGGAAGAATGCCACAAAAGGGCCCTACAGAGGGGAGTATGCTCTAGTTCAGGTGTGGCTCCTTGTATCCATAACACCAGCGAGCAGCTGCACACCCTCTCTAGCCAGCTGCCTCCCCAACACTGTCCAGTTCTTAAAAGAGGGAAAGGATTGCTCCTGTGAGGAAGCGAGAGGCAGCCTCCACTGCTCGCAGCTTTGGTCCGGCCTAATCGCATAGGGGCCAGGTCGCCAGATGAGGCACTTGCTGTAACGGTGCAGATGGGCTCCTGCTTCAAGCCTGCCAGCCTTAAGAGAGTTGCCTTGGTCGCTTAGGACACCTAGGCCGGTGTCAGAGGTGGGACATGAACCCAGGTCTTCCTGATGGAGGTCAGTTCTCTAGCTTCCTCCACCTACCCAATCCCTAGTAGCCCTAAATACTCAGACCACTTATCCCGTCCAAAGAAGTTCCATTTAACTTACTGATCTGGACCCTAGAAGGTTATCATCCCAACTCCCAGAAACCTGGATGCTGGAACCATAATTCGCCTTGCCACGTTCCAGAAGGAAGCAGCTTCCTCCATGACCCAACACCCCCAAATTCACCATAATGCAGAGAATTCTGGAGGCTAATTCTGACAAGGGTTTGTCGCTAATGTTAGCATTCCACATCCCCAGCTCATCTCATCTCCCAAATCTTGAAGTCATGCAAAAGTTGACAAAACATTTATTAAAGATGGAACAATCACTTTCTATAAGGACACGAGTTATTTTTTTAAATGCTTTTTAAAAAAAAAACAAACCAGTATGCAATTTATAAAACTGGTCCTTTAGGGGCTAAAAAGTATTTACAGAAGACAGACTTTGGAAAGACAGAACCTGGCTTGGCTAGCCCCAAGCCAATACTGAGTCCAGTGGTGGATGTGATTCAGAAACACCTCTCTCTTCTGGAAAGTGAGATACAGAGAGACTGTGGAAATGGGCACTTCGTATGAGTTTTGCCCAGCCAAATAACACCTGAATAACAGCTGAATGGTCGTGTGGAGATAAGATGGGAGAAGGGGTTACTTTTATTCTTCACTTTTTTTTTTTTTTTTTTTGCGGGGGCCAGAGGGGTTATATTTCACTTCAGGAAACAAAAATGTCTCCCTACCCTTTCAACCCAGAAATACTTTCCCTTCATTCAACTGAAGCAAGATTTTCCCACTTCCTCAAGGCTCTCTACAGCTAAGGCATCAGGGTCAGGTAGGTCCAGGACCTTTGGTAATGGGTGGTAATGATGGCTGCAATGCCTCTTAAAAGCTGGAGAGAGAGGTGGCTTGAGAGCATGGCCTGAGCGCAGCTGCTCTTTGGAGTGGTTTGGTCCTAAGGTTTGTTTTCACAGGCCTGATCGATCTCATTACCTAAAGAGACAGAATGATGAGTACCTTGAATTGCTGGTATCCCCCCAACAGCCCTGATCCATCTGTTCCCCAAGCTAAGTTCCAAATCCTTAAGTCTCTCAAAAAAGTAGGGAAAAGGAAACCTTGGGCACCATTTATGGTACCCACCCAGCAAGTCTGAGTACCTAGTACACCCCAATATACATTACCTAGTGAGTCCAGGGATTGTCACCTTCTTGGGGGACTGTAGATGGTTTCGGGAGGCAGCAGAGACTGGAAGGTTTGATCTCTGGGTAGAAGGAACTTGGTGAGGCAAACAAAAGAAATAAATTAACAAGGAGACAGCAGAATGTCCCTGGAAATGATGAGGCCAGGGATCCCAGTGAGCAAAGCCTATAAGACCCAGATGTGCAGAACTCTGGGTTCTCTACCCTGACCCACACTCTCCCTGTCACCCCATCTTTAAGTCAAGTGTGTGAAATAAAGGGAATGCAGGATTTTTGCTGTTGTCTTTGGTAAGGGCAAGGTCAAGATAGGTCCGTTTGACATGCCTACCCTGGGGTGTCCTCCCCCAAGTCCATCCCTCCTCACCTCGGTGTCCAGCTGTGCTGGATCTAGATGGCCCTTTCCGAGGTGGAGCAGCTCCTAGGGGCAAGCTGCCTTTCCCAGACAGGGGACTTCTGCTGGAGAGCAGTGCCTGGCTGGCAGGTTTGGGGATGGCGGTAGGAGTGGGCAGCCTGCTGGGTCTGACAGCTGGACCCTGAGTCCGGGCCGGGCGCTGAAGGGTGTTTGGGGGAAGTTGTAAGGCAAGAGCTGGCCTTGTAGTGGAAGCTAAGCCTGACGGTAAAGAAGAGTCTTTCTAAGCAGAGAACCACAATTTCCCCCGCCCCCAGGACCTGTCCCCTCCAAGGCAAAGCCACCATGTTCCTTGTTACCAGCAGCAGGTGCTCTCCCACTGGGCCCCGCTTTTCCCCCGGCTGGAGGGGCAATCCGGCTGATGGGAGAAGACTGACTTCTTGTGGTGGGGAACACACTGCCAGTGGGCGCCTCCTGAGAAGCAAAGAGACAGGAAGGAAATAGGACACACAAGGAGAATCTCTTCCAAGCCGAGCCCTCGGCAGGACGTTTTCTGTGGTGAAGCACAACCCTGACATCAGACTGAACCTGGCATGGGCGTGGCATGTGTCACAATACGGAAAAGGGGGTCATAGAACAAGACTAATTACTCTTCCACACAACGGCCCTTCAATTAATTGAAGACAACTACCATGTCTCCCTTAGGTTTTCTCAAGTCTAAATATGCCAAGGCAGCTGGGTGGTACAGTGGATAGAGTGTCAGGCCTGGAGTCAGGAAGATCTGAGTTCAAATTCTGCCTCAGACACTGACTAGAGCTGTGTGACTTTGGACAAGCCACTTCATTTCTGTTTGCTTCAATAAAATGAAGATAATAAGAGCACCTACCTTCCACAGTTGTTGTGAGGATCCAACAAGATAATAATTATAATGTACTCAGCACAGTGCCTGGCACAGAGTGGTGCTTGTGAATGCTAGTTGTTATGGCACGGTCTCCTTTCCTTTCATTATCCTGGATGCCCTCTACCATACCTCGTCAGTGTTCTTAAAATGTGGCAACCAGGTCTGAACACAACACTTCCCACTAGGATCCCCTTTGTATGGGTCACACTAGACTGGCCACAAACAGCCCCCACGAAAGCCTCTGTAAGGGCAGGGGCCAACATCCCATGGCAGTAACAAACCCTGCCATCCTAGGTCACTTGGAGTATCTATCCCCAGATGCCCCTCCATCCTCACCTTCTTAGTGCCAGAAGGCTTCTTTCCAGATGTGGCTCGAAGAACCCTGCTTGACCCCTTCTTCTCACTGCTGCGGAGTCGGGGGGTCAGGCCTCCCGGAGCAGAGGGCCCCCGGACAGGAGAGCTCACGGTGGGCAGCAGGGCTCGGACAGGACTGTTCTTCACCACAAATGTCTCACGTCGGGGACTGGCCTTCACCCGCCGCCCCTTGCCATCACCACCAGCGTCTTTCTCCTGCAGGGCGCACTGCTCCAGTCGAGCTGCCAGACGGTTGGCCTCATCAAGAATTTCCTCCAACTTCTCAGGGCTGAGAGGGCCCAAGCTGAGCCTTAACCCCTGAGGTTCTTCGGCCACTATGTTCAGGTCACTCCGGTGGGCCAGACCCCGCCTAGGTGGCCGCTCAGGAATCACTGGGTCAGCAGCCTCTTCCTCCTCACGGCTGGGTCAGAGAGCAAATCTAGATGTTCCAGAACCAGGCACCATTCCCACCCAGGAAAAGGGGGGCAGGAGGGGACGGGACTAGGGAACAAGCAATAGGTCTGCCAGCTGAACCCAAAGTCAGCTCTCCACTCTATGGGTTGCATTTCCCTATTAGAATATAAGTTCTTTGAGGATAGGGACTGTCTGGCTAAAATATTTATATTCTCAGTGCTTACCATAGTGCCTGGCACATAGTAAGGGCTTAATGATTTTTTTTCATACATTCAAAGTTCTAGCTTTTGCTCTGGCTGTAAAGTTAGTGTCTCAATGATACCCCAGCAGTGGTGTGCTGGAGCCAACTTATTTAGGCTCCAGGGACAACTGTTCAATTTTCCATTTACACCTCAGAAATTGGCAAACGCTACAGATCAGGGCTAGATTTGTTGTTTTGTCGACTGTCTATAGTTAAGAAAGTAATAAAGTGTTAATAATGAAGACTAAACTTAAAAGTGTGTCCTGCATTTTTGGAGAGCCAGTGCATGTTTGCTGCTGTACCAACTAGCAAATGAAACAGCTAACAGACCACCTTGGGCATGGCTGGCCCAGGAAAACTCCACATTGAGGGATGAGCAAACGTCTTTATTCTTCTTTTTGCTGCCCTGAAATCCCAACACAGCCACCATCAATCCCTCCCAGCTCAGTACTGTTACTGCTAATCCTTGATGGTACCAATCATCTGGCCAGCCACCCCAGCTCATTGATGCCAGCCTCCCCAAACTGCCCAGTTCTCAAGGCTTCAGTGAGTAACAAACACAGAGAGAAACAGGGCAAAGGGACCCTTACCTATCAGAAGGTGATGGCACGATAAAATCAAATGTCTCATCCACAATAAACTTTACATCTGAAGGGAGAAATAATAAGGTGCTAAGGCTGATCCCTCCCCACCTCCCAACTTTGTCTCCTTAATATTGATCTATAAAGGATTCAGATTCCAGACTGCCTCTGGCCAATCCCCACTTCAGCACCTGAGATTTCTTACCTTCCTCCAAATTCTCCATGTTGTAGCCGGCAGGATCAGAGTCACCTTGAGCCAGAACTAGAAAGAAAGCATGGTACTTTTGGGGTCTTCCCTCATTCTCCGTAGCAGGCACTCCCGACTTTGCTACCACCATCCCACTTCTCTAGGTTCTGCTATCGGTTCCAGATAGCAGAACTAGAGACAACAGGCATAAATTGCAGAGAAGTGCATTTCCACTCTTGTTAAGATGAAACTTCCTAACAATCATAGCTGCCACTGCCCCAAAGTGGAATGGACTGCCTTCGAAGACTGTGAGTGGCCACCCCTCACTAGATTTTTCAGAAGCTGGGTAACTCTTTGCTGGCGATGTTGCTGCAGGAGGAAGTCTCTTTCGGGTACAGGTTGGACTACTAGATCATAGGACCCTTCCATCTGGGAGATGCTGTGGATTCCTTGGCACAATTTTCTGGATTAGGCTGAGAGAGCCAGGGTTATGGAAGCACAGACTGTCAGAGCTGGAGGGGATTCAATTCAATAATCCTTTATTAAGCACTATGTGTCAGCCACTGAGGGGGATACAAAGACCAAGACCAAACAAAACAAAAAGAATCTCTGCCCCCCAAGAAGTTTATATTCTATGGAGGGGGGGGGGACACAGGAAATGATCTGACTCCTACACAGCTCAGTTAATAAACAATATATACAAATTAAACAAAAGTGGCTCAGTCCAATCTGTTCCTTTGACAGAGTCTGGACACAGGCCCAGCTAGTCAATAGGAGAGCTGGGACAAAAGCCCCAGGCTCCCAGGTTTTGATAGGTATGCTCTGCTCTCTGATGATGAAGATGATGATGCTAACAATAACCGGCATGTATGCAGTGATTTAAGGTTTGCAGAGCACTTTACAAAGTGATCTCCTTTGATCCTCACAACCACCCTAGGAGGTAGGTACTATTATTATCCCCATTTTATAGAGGAGGAAACATAAGTTAGGTGACTTGCCCAGAATCTGAATTGAACTCAGGTCTTCCAGAGTTCCAAGACCTGAACTGTATCCTCTGCGAGTAAATACACCAGGTATCGGAGGGGGCGGGGGCGGGGGTGTGTATGTTCTAACTCCTCCCCCTCCATCCCGAGGAATGAATGGGGGATGCTTTCTCCCCTGCTTCGGCGGCCGCTCCACGTGCACCCCCCCAACCCCCGTCCCGCGCGCCTCCTCACGGCCATGCAAGTCTCCCTCCCCGCTGCAAGCCACCCCCTCCCTCTGCACGCCCCTTCCCCCAGCCCTGCACTCCCCACTGCCCGAAGTCCCCGGCCCTGCACGTAGCACCCCCCCACCTTGCATGCCCCACTGCCTCCTGCCCCTGCACGCCCCGCACCCCCCGACCCTGCACGCTCCCCCCTTTCCCCAGCCCTGCAGCCCCCCCTCCTCCAGGCCTCATCCCACCCATCGCGGACCCCTTCCTCCAACCCCGACCTTTTCTTCTCACCTTTTCTCCCGTCACTTCCAATTCCCCGACGCCCCCCGACCTGTCGCCCCACGCCAATCCTTCGCCCCACCCCCCCCCACTTCACTCGGCTCACAGGACCCCTACCTTGCGCAGCCCGTGGACCCTTTTTCTTAATCTAGTCGCGGGAATTGATCCCTGAGGCGCGGGGCACCTTTCGAATCTCCCAGGCCCTACCCCTTTTTCCCTGAAGCGTTCTATGATTGGTAACCTCTCTTTCTTGACTCCGCCCAGAGGGGCGGAGTCTCTAGGCCGGAAGGCCAAGGGAGGAGGGGCGGGGCGTTCGAACGGAAAGAGGCCCGAGAGGAGTAGTAGGCTGCAGCTTCTCCAGGTCGTCGCGGCGCGAGAGCGCGCAAGGGGGCGCTTTCCTCTCCCACCCCCACCCACGGGGAGAACGCCGGTCAAACCTGGAGGGGGCGGGGCGAGGTGCGCCCGAGACAATTCGCCAATGAGCGTCCGTTGAACGCCCAGCCCCGCCTCCGCGGGCAGTTACTGCGCTCCAACCGGCTCCCTCGGTGGCTCGGCTCGGCGGCTCTGGGTCTCGGGCTGCCCAATCAGAGGCGGTGATGGAAAGGCCCCTGCTGCCCCCTCAGTGGCCACCTCGCCACCTTCAGCTCGGGCCTCGGCCTACGAGAAGCCTTCCCTGATTGTCCTCAGTTGTTAGTCTTCCCCTCACCCCGCCCCCGCCCCGTCTTTATTTGTGGACTTGTATCCTTACGCCCCTCCCCCACCGAGAACGTAAGCTCCCCGAGGGCAGGCCCTTTTCCTCTTCGCGCTCTAACCGCACTTAATAGGCGCCTACTGTTTGAATGAAAGCCTAAACACGCGAGGGAAACGGTGTTAAAAACCCACGGGAGGAGGTGGTTTTCCGCGCGTGGCTTTCCGAGATAACGGAAGATCCACAGATTTAGAGAGAGAAGGAACCGCCAAGGTCATCTAGCTCAAAGCCTTTCCCACCCTGAACAGATGGGGAAACTGAGGCCCTGGGCGGTGAAGCGATCGATTGGCCTTAAGTCACGCATCCGCTGTACCACTTGCTTCCCGTTCTTCAAAAAAGAGCATCATGGACACAAATGCAGTATCTATTACAAAACAAAAAAACAATCTATCAGAAAAAAAACAAAACTTAGCGCCTTACAAAATGACTATCTTTCTCTCCATGCACCCCGAAATTTGGTTGGGAAAATACAGCCTGTGTGATCCCCCCATGCTTGTCTCCTCGAACCCAGAGAGATGCTTGTGATGTCATTCTCTTACTGAAAACCCGAGGTTGTGGTTGTGAACATCAGTTATTTTTACCAAGAGCTACTTGGCATTTTCTTCAGGGAAGCATCTTAACCTACAAGAAAACTGATATAGACAGCTTAACAGGAAATGGCTGTAAAACTTTATTTAAGTCAGCAAATATTGCATTTCAAAAAGTGATGAGAAAATTGTCAAATAGAAGCTAAAATCTGAGCACCTTTCGGGTCCCCCTCCAAAAAAAAAGGGGAAAATCTTCACCTACAGTTACTGAGTCCACTGGGGAGGGGAGGGTCACTTCCATACCCTATAATTAGTTCTTGTCTCCGTTTTCTCCAGTTTTTCTGTCCCCCTTTTGCTCACTTCTTGCTGCAGTCTTTTGACGCCTTGTAGCATCTCACTACCCGCCACCTTTTAATTGACTAATTCTAATATACTGGAGAGCTGAGGAAACAATCAGGTTTTATCCCTTTTGTCTAAATTCCAGCAAGTAAACTCAGAGCAAGGGACTGAGGAGTTGCCCTTGAAGGAGAGGCAGAAGCTATCATCAATGGACTTGGTGACATCTATTAGGGGTTCAGAGGCCCTCTTTTGCTTCTCAACTGTGTTAAGGGCACTTTGAGGGTGCTGGACAACAGCCATCTGTTAAGGAAGTGCCAATTGCAATAACTGTGATAGGAAATTAAAAGGCTTCTGAGGGGTGAAGGAAAAGGGGAAGCCAGGAAGTTGCACGTTTATGTGACTTGGGGCTGAGGAGCCATGACGGCTTCTCAGTTAAGACCGCCTTCCAGGATTTGAGGAACTGTTTAGATTTCCTAAATTACCTACTGGGGAGGCTTGGGGTCCCTGGGAGAGCCAGGAGTCACTGCCTTTCTACTATCCCACTTTCCTGAGGTGCCAGGATGGGACTTGATGGTGATGTGGGGGGGGAGCCATATTGTGCCCACAGAAGTGAGAAGTCACTGTGCCCCTCTCACTCCAAGGTATTTATTTGCAGGCTGTATGGGTGAAGTAATAATCAGTTGACCACAAAAGGAAACTCATTTGAGGCTGGCCGGGGATTAATGCCTTTTAAGTTGAAAGTTGTAGAACCAGGGGAAAAAGCCGGTGAAACAGAGCCACTTTCCCTTTCTTCTAGACTCACTGTTGGGGCCTTAGAGTTTTATCTACTGAAACAGGACCAGAAATGTGGCCACCCCAGCCACAGAAACCACCACTTCAACCTCAGTCCACTCATTGTGGGCCCCCAAGGGATTGTGGGTGGATAGCTGGTTAGAGACCTGAATAGATGAATAAACTTTTCACATTCTATTGCCCAAGTCTTTGCTTAAAGGTGGGGAGATGATCTGTGACTAGAAGTATCATTTAGTGTGACAAAACTCTTGTTCCTTTATCTAATTTGGTATAAGGAAGTAGGTACTATGGGTTAGCCTTGAGTGTTTCAGGACAGCTGGTGGTCTGTGGTTTGTAAGCTGACTCATCATTGAGTATCATTTTTTTCTTAAGCCCTTCACTTGGACTTTGTTCAAGTGGGAAGAAAATCTGGTCACGTGGTTAAGTGGCTCAGGCCTTAACAGCTTATGCACAATATTTCTCTAAGCTGCAGTGCCTTCCCTATACTTCTCCACCAAAACTGGTCCTTCTACTCCAAAGCTTTATTCAAAATTTATCACTTTCTTGACTCCCCAGTTCCCAACCTCCCACTACAAATGGTTTCTTAGTAACCTCACATGACTTCAAACCAGGACCACTTTATCTTTTGGGGGAGAAGGCACGCAAAACAGAGTCCATCACTTTTAGGGTATGATGACCTTGACTTATGTACAGCCTTGGCTAAAAGGAATGAGTAGACACGAGTGTAGGCAAGGGGGTCCCTCAAGGCTAAACTTACCCAGGTCCTTAATGTGATTCTCCTTCCCTCCATCACTCTAGCACCCTCCCAGCTTTCGGGTACAGAGTTCTTAAGTTCTTGATTTTTGTATGTTGGTTATTAATGTCTTTGTTATGTGTCCTGTCTTCATATACTGATACCTTCTTCCTCTCTCTCTCTCCCATCTCTGCCAGAGCACTTCTGAACCCCAATGAATAGAGATCTATAACCATTGAGGGTCCAATTATAGTTCTGTATTCTATTCCTATCACATTCTTTCTAGGGAAAAAGTGGCCAAAAAAAAAATTTAGCTCAAAGAGAAATTTGGGTGTGGTAAACTGAACTCAGGTTTGGGAAAGAGAAAGAACCTATTGCCACTCTTGATAAATTAGTCTTCCTCATCTCAGATCTGTTTCCCTGAATGTCAAACAAAACACTTATTGACCCAGATCTCATCATGGGAACCCGCACATTCAAAACCAAACTCAGGCAGCAGGGGAATTGTGCTCTGTGTAACTCCTTAAGACCAGTCACCAGCCAGAATGACTCAATGTACTAACAAATGTTCAGATAGATGCTAGGTAGTCAGTTTACCGCTGTAACCACCACAGGGACAGATTGCAGCCAGAGAGTGGGAGGAGTGTTCCTCTTCAGCTGGATCCTGAAGTTCTGTGCATGTGAATTCATTGTGTGTATCATTGTCTTGTCTGAGCAGTGACTTGTAGAAAGAGTTGAAGTGACCAATAAGGTACTGAAATGATAAAGAGAGATGGAGGAGGAGTTGAATAAGTGAATGAATGAAAAAGCATTTATTAAGCCCTATAGGCCCACCATTGTGCTTCGCACTGGGGACACAAATACAAAAGCAAAGACAGTCCTAGCTTTCACACACCTTACTTTTTAATAGGAGGCATAATAAAAAAAGGGGGCTGGGGACCAAGGAAAGATATTTTTGGGTGGAAAGTTATAGGAGTAATGAGTGGAGCTTAGGAGACTAAGTTGACCCACCCTTTCCAGGAGCAATGACTGAGTTGGTTTAATTATAGTTCCAGAACTGGCAGGGGCGGGAGAAGGGAGGGGTGATGGAGACAGGTGGTGGTGGGATTGGGCCACAAGATGGCTGGGGAGTGAAGTGACGCGTGGCTAGAGGCAGGCCTAGATGTTGTGGGGCCTTGCATTTCTCTAATCAACAGTGATTTAGAGCATTTTTTCATATGACTATAGACAGCTTTAATTTCTTCCTCTGAAAAGTTCCCCAAGACCCTGAGAGTCAAGTCCAAAAGATCACTCCATAGAAGAGAATGACAGAGTTACCAGAATTAGAATTTAAAGAAAAGTATAGTCTGTGTTTAATTATTTACATAGAAATGTATAAATGATGTTCAATCTGTTCATGTTTAAGTCATTATAAACATTTTCTATCCTTTAAGGTTGGTGATTTCTTGCAAGAGTCTTATTCAAGCTTAGTTATGACTTAACCCCACCTCCAAGCTGCAATTTAGACATGTGTGTTGGAGCAAGGAAAACCCTCTACTTGACCCTACCATATCTGCAAACTATAAGCCTTTGTTTTTCTTGTTTTTCACATACAGCTCCTATAAAAAGTCTTCTATAAGCATTGCTTCTACCTTCTCTCCTTCCACTCATTCCTCTTCTATTTAACCCTCCTTCTGATAACCACTGGGAAAAATTCTAACATCTGGGTAATTTAAATGTTGCAGACATGTAAAGGATGTATCAAGTGTGTACTTGATCTCAGCTTCCTTTTTTTTTTCATTTTTTTATTAATTTATTTTGATTTATCAACAACCACTTCCATAAGCTTTTGAGTTTTAAATTTTTCTCCCCCTTCCTCCCCACCTCCCTCCCCAAGACAGTGCACAATCTGATATAGGCTATACATATACATTTCTATTAAACATATTTTCACATTAGTCATGTTGTAAGGAAGAATTAGAACCAATAGAAGGAACCACAAGAAAGAGGAAACAAAACAAAAGAAAAAAAAAGAGCAAATAGTATTCTTTAATCTGCATTCAAACTCCATAGTTCTTTCTT